ACATCCACAGGCGACTTTCTCCCTCCCCCAGGTTTGTGGAAGCTCATAATGTTTAAAAAGCTCTTCACAGAGTGGATCACACCTAAAATCCTAACTTCTAAAGCCAACCTTTATCAGTGGAATCCACTTCCTCTTCGTCCTACGTGATAATTCCAGAGATGGCGCCTAATACACCAGCCTCTGAGCTTTTCTGCGCCACTATTCACTCTCCTTCCAGTCCCACTTACATTCACCTCATTTTGGAGATAAAGAGTATTTCTGTAGAGGGAATTCATACCCCCTGATTTATCTCTTCGATAAGTTTGGGCTTCCATGCCTGCATTACTAAGAAAATATAATCTGCCTGGCTTTGCCAAGAACTGAAACCAAAGCAAGCAGCTTGAAAAGCTTTCCCCAGACCATCCGCACTTACCAACATCTTAAACATGTTTGGACCCGAAGCGCCCACAGCTGGGAAATGCAAGAAAGTGGTGTTGGGAGTCGGTCTCTGTATGCAGGCTGACTTCTTTTAAACCTAGCCGAATTTATCGTCGGCTCGGGCCAGTGGACTGATGCTAATTTGTTATTAGCTTGAAAACGTTAATTTGATAGTGGAGTTGTGTCGTTTAAACCAAGGCAATTGGTTGCTCTCAGACCGAGCCCCAGGCTGGGTATGTATTTTTTTTCCCAAACCTCACATGGCTTGAATACCGTCATGCTAAGACATGACAAACCACCGGCTGAGGCCCCTGGGTGGCAGGCATGGGTTTCCTCCGGCATTTCGCCCCTCTCTCTGCCACGCTCTCCTGCTCTTTTTCCTAGAGTCTGCCTAATGACTTTCCCCAGAAACAGTTAGTTATCGTCCATCTCCCAGCCTATTCCCTGAAATACATGGAGAAACTGAGATTTCCCAGTGTTCACAAAGATACAGGTGAATGTGTTGACACAGACAAGAACGTATTTGTAGGATAAAAGTGAAATCACACCAGGAAGAAACAAGACACCACGTTAATCGCTCTGTACAATGGTCCCTGTTACGTAAGAAACTGAGATTTAAGAGCAGCCTTTATTGTTGGATTTATTGTGTAAAATCTGGCATTTACTGAAGGTACTTTGCCCCCAGACTGGGTTAGCCAATGCTGTTGACTTATGTATTCAAACAGTGAGAAGAATTATACCTAGAGAGGGCAAAAATACAGGATAAATTCATCCTCTGAGCAAACGCATCATTCCCAGGGCTGACACACTGTGCACAGCCGAATCCTACTTTGTTTCGACAGTGACTTTAATCCCATCACTGACAGAGCCAACATGTATATTTTGAACTATTGGGTAATTAGAGATTGGCCCCAGTGTCTGCGTTACATAATATGTACAGTTTTTAGGTTACTTTCTATTGAAATCAGTACATCTTAATAGGAAGCACAGGGCTGTACGTGAGCTAGTATTTACCAAGGTCTTCCTAATGGGCTGGCAAAGCTGGTGTGTTGTATTATCGCCATGTTCCTCACTGCTCCAGCATTCTTTTTCTGTAAATAACCCATTCTCAAATAAATAGACTTTTGATAAACTTTCCAAACATGGAGTGTGTGCTTTTTGCGCAGGGTTTCAAAGACAGATAGAACTCTGCCCCTGTTCTCAGGGAGCTGGCAGTCGAAGGGGAAGTGAACGCAGTAAATCAGCAATTACAACGTGGTGTGGTTTGTGTAATCCCAAAGGAGCAGCTCTGCTCAAAGATCTCGATGAGCTGGATGACCGCCCCCTGCAAAGACCCCTCCACGGACAGGAAGCACACTTCCGTGTACAGTAGTTTGTGTATCCATCATTCAGCAGCGATGATGTGTTGGTTCTAGCGTGTGTGCTAGACACCGGGGAAGCCGTCCTTCACCGAGTGGGCACGGTCTCTGTCATCCTGAAGACGTTTCTAGTGCAGGTGGGAGATGTAAACGGGCTGATGAACAATCAAACGCAGGGTGACACCTGAGCAGTAGAAAACCGTGGGGGTGTCCCAGGAGCGTCCTACATGAGGGCCAGAGAAGTGTCCCCGAGCCCAAGGCCTGGAGGTGGCATTAAAGTTACACGTAGCAGGAGCTCTGTAACTATTTGGTGAACGATGATAAATAGATAACACAATGCCTTTGCTATCGCTAACGTGGCCCCTCTAAGAGGCGTATTTTAGAAGAGACATTTCTGTGCACTGTCGCCGTGGCTATGTGTGGGACCAGCGCAGGAGCCTGGAGGAACTGAGAGCCTTGCTGTGTACACAGATGACAGCGTGCTGGGTGGCGTCCTGAGACACTGGCTGGACCCACAAGCAAGGGCCGGTGCACCCAGCACTGTGGGGCCACGTGGGATGTTTTCGTTGCAGACCTCGAGGAGAAACTGAGAGCAAGAACACTGGTCTACTTCTGCCGCCGGGACAGCTCATGGTGATTCTAAGTCTAAAGTCTCCTCCGGTGAACAGCTCTTCAAATCCTTGAAGATTAATACATTTTCCTCCCGAATCTCCTTTTCTCCAGAAAAGGGCGCACTTCCTTTGCATCCACCTCCCACGTCAACCTAACCCCTCTTCCTTTAAGTGAAGTGCCTACAGCTTGGGCTCATTGATGAATTTAAAGAACCGGGATCAAGGATGACCTTCCGCAGGCATCCACCTGGGAACCAGCCATTAGGAACTTGGGGTTCCCTCCCTCCCCCTCGCCCTGCCTCCATCACACCCCCCAGCACAGTTTACCCCCACTACACAGTGAATAGATGCTGCTTTAATCATGTCTTAGAATTACAAAGACTATCGTTTCTCTACATGGAGGAAAAAACATTTGCTGTAGCCTGCCTTTTAGTTAAACCTCTTACAGTTCTTGCACAGCCTTGGTTCCTCCAGGACATTTCTGAGAGTCAAGACTGCCTGTCAGAAGTCGAAAAATGGGAGAGATGGGGCCTGAGAGCAGAAGTCAGATGATTTTCTGTAATCCTTTTGCACTGGCGGTGGAGAAGAATTTCAAGCTTCCGTGAAAACACACTGCTCTGTTTCAAGTCACCAGTCAATCGCGTGAACCCACATTTCTTGAGTTCCTGCCATAGCGAGGCATGGAAAAGACCACGGCGCAAGGTCTGCCTTCTTAGTCATGTACTCAGGCAGGCTCTCGACTCGCTGAACTTCCTATGTGCCAGGTGTGATACTAGGAACAAAAGAGGTGACAGTCCCTGCGGTCACGTTGCTCACAGATAAGCAATAATTCAGTAATTATTCAATAATTGCAAAGCAGCCGGCTGGCTGCCGTGAAGGGGGCTGAGGACAGGGCTTGGAAGCAGCCAGCAAAGAGGAGACGCAGCCGGCTGGGTGTCAGACTTACACTGTTCAACACACCTTTGCTGAGGAGCTAAAATTGAGCGCATCTGACCGATACCGCAGAGGACTTCCTGTTTTCTATGAAAACGGCCTCAAGCTATTGGAGGAGAGCCACCCAGCTGGGTCTGCAAACGCTCAGCACCCGGGAGCGTCAGGTCAGCCAGTCGCCCAGGCTCCACTTCCCACATCAAAACCCATCGTGGACAGAGGGCGCGTCTCCTTTCTGTTGAGTAGCTCAATAGAAGTCATCTCTGATGTCGTTGGCTCCGTCAGGCTGCTCACGTGGGGTCGCCATGAGTTCTTCTTAAGTAGAACTTGGCGAGGCTGGTGGAGACAATTCCTCCTGGCCCCGTGGGCCTGTAAAAGGGCGTCTGACCCTCAGGACCCTTCCGGGCTGAATTTGGAAATGCTCTTCAGGAAAGTCCCATCTTTCTCTCGGGAGGGAGGGCGAGGGCTCCTCACAGGTCCCCTCCCCTGTAAAGCCGCATGTCTGCCTGTGTCCCGGGGGGAAATGCAGCTCAGGCCTTCCCGGGCGCCTGGCTCCTTCCAGAGGAGAGTTTGGGAACAAGAGTCGGGAATGACAAGGTCTGGGGTGTTGGTCTCAGAAGACACCTGGGCTTCTGCAGGCATCTCTGGAGCCAGCCGGGCAGGTAGCATTCTCTGAACAACTGCAGCGGTAGCTGCCATGCCCAGGGGACCCGGAGAGGTGGGACCCTGGTCCAGAATGTTCATGGCACAGGTAATAACCGAAGGCAGCCAGGCAGAGTGGGAGGCGCTCCGGGGGGTAAGCGCAGACGTGGACTTGAACCCCAGTCCTGTCTGAGCGGCCAGGCGACCCGAGCGAGCCCACGTAGCCTCACCTGGCCTCCGCCTTCTCACCTGCGAAGCTTCTGCAATGATGGACGGCGGTAGTACGTCCTAAACGCAAGGGCATACGGGAAGCTCCCAAAACTTGAGCAGCAGCTTCACCAGGTGTCCCCAGCCCAGGCCACTGAGGGTCTGCTCTGCAGAGTCAAGCGGGCTGTGTGGGAGATGACAGCCAGGTGGGGGGAAGGCTTGAGAGAGAGAGGAACAAATGTGACACTTCGCCGACATCTGCGAACTCTACAGGCGTCGGAGCCCATCCTCCTCTGTGGAACAGAAGACCCGGGAAAACAAAGCCTGTCTTTGTGAAGGACTTGTCGTCTCTCATCGGGGCCGAAGCCTTCTCCTGGGGAGGCGAGGACAGGAGAGAGGGAGAGACTCTTCCCTGGCAAGGCTGAAGAGCAGCGGGCTGTGGGGGGGACACCCTTCTTCTCTTGCTGCGGACGTTAACTGGCATCACGTGGTGCCACTGACCGTCTACGGACGCCCACTGAGGGGGAGGAAGCAGCGCTGCCCTCCGGGGCTGGCCTGGCGTCCATCTAGGTCTCGGTGTTGTCAGGGGCTGTCCTGCTGCTCACAGCCAGGTCTCGTGGTCTCCTGTCGAACACACTTCACAGCACATCAGCATCAGGCAAGCCCACTTCAAAATCATGTCTGAACACAGACAAAAACATAAACATCGTCCAAACCATGAAAGAGACCACACATTCCCCCATCGGCTGCTGTGAGTGATCCCTGCTTCTTCGCCAATAGCAGCTTTGAGTCTCCTCC